TTTGCCAAAGACTGAAGCGTCCCGTTTGTTTCAGGAGATGCTAATGCTGGTGGTTTCGCTGGCGAGTGACTTTGCAGTATCTTCTGCCATCCTGCACGCTGCAAAGAGCAGTGAGGAGCCCAGGAGCTGGGAGGTGGGGAGCTGCAGGTGAAGCAATGGGATTTTATTCATCAGGGGGAGAAGGTGCGTCATGGTGATGTGAGTTTTTGTGCAGGCTAAGGAGTAAACACAGGTGGAGTGCCTTTCTCTTTAATAAATAGCTAAACTGCTCATGCCTTTACTTGAAAACGTAGCTGTGTTTGATGAGCCAGCGCAACCTCCTGTGGGCAGCCGGATTTCCCAGGGCTGGGTGCAGCCAAGGGCAAGTGATCACTGGGGCAGGGCATGTCTGCAGGCTCCGAGGCTTTGTGCTGGGAGAAGCAGGAAGAAATGGCAGGGAAGGAGGGCACCAGCGCCTGCAGCAGCATCGGAACAAGCCGGGAATGTGGCTCAGTGCTGCTTGGAGCCGTGGGCTGAGCTGCTGGGCCCCAGGCAGGGAAGATCCCAGCTGGGTCCTGCACCTTCTCCCCCAGCATGTTGGAGCACGCTGGAGAAGTGCCACCAGTCTGCCTGTCTCCTCCAGGCTGGAGCAGTCCCCTCGGGCTCTTTGCCCGGCCAAGCTGCAGGATGTAATTGCTCATTTGGGAAAATTTTGGGGAATCTGAGCTGTAATTGCCCAAAGCATCTGCTGCCCTTTGAGATCAGGTTGGAGCCCAGGCCGTGCCACCCCGGCATACGTGCCTGTGCTCCATTGACAAGGATTTATTACACAACCGACCTTCTCATGGAGCTGCCACCAGGAAATTCCCCAGCACAGCAACAGTGGAAAAACATGTCGTTGTAATACTGCAGTGTAATTCAGCTGGTCAAATAAATAACAACCCGTGTGGGAACTGAGGGTGATTTTTATTCCATAATCTTTCCAAAGCAGGATTGTTATTAGAGGCTTCTGTTTTTAAGTACTTTTCTCAAGCACCTCCCATCAGTTTTTCATTCCTTCTGCCTGCTCTTCAGTCCCTGCTCCAGCAAAACCCTTTATCTTTTCCCCACAGCTCCTGGGGTCAGCCTAACTCGATGACTAAATCTTTCAAAGCCTGACCCTGATTCTTGTTAATCATTTCTCAAAAAAAATGCAGTGTTTTTTGCTAGCAGTGTTGGTTCTGGGTAGGTCTTGTCCTGGGATGAGACCTCTTGTGCTAAAGGCTGTAAGGCACAGCTTGTAGTTTAAGGACATACTGCCCTTAAGACCTGGTCCTGTTCAAGCAATGGCTCTGTCCTAGCAGGATGTGATCCGTGGAGGAGGATCAAACCATTAATATTGACAGCCTGCCTCCGCCTGGATTAATGGGGTGGTTGAACATGCTCCCGGCAGCTGCCTTGCCTTGGGTCAGCACAGCCAGGAAGGTGCGGCTGTGCGGTAGATGTG